CAATTATACATGCAATCAGCAGTACAAATTACGATAGAACTTGACACTTTAAAGACTAACTCCAATCAGCAGATACTCAGTCTCAACTATATCGATATTTTCGACGATACAAAGTGGCATAAAATTCATATACATAACTTTATCCGACAATTATTGGTTCTTGGATATTCAACCTAAACTAATATGCCTGATAAGGATCAACCAGCAGCTAATGAAAAAAAAGGGTATGTATTATTATCTTTTTTCTTAGTGTCGTTAAAAATTTGAAAAAATTATAATTTTTGTTAAAACAATCAAAATGCAAATTTTCAAGTTCAATGAATATGTATTTTACCCATGACATGAAACAGAAACCTAGGCCCGTATTATTTTCTAAAATGTATACCATTGCGTATCAACATGCTTGCTGCCATCAACGACGATAAACCTAATTCGTGTCTCAACTTCAGACAAATAAAATATAATACGATACGATACGAGAAGCTTTAATGCAATTTTTATTATAAAAATTGAAGGTGAACAATAAAACATGAAAATACAATACAATTAAACCACAAAAAGGAGGTAGGAAACGTTATTAAAACAATCAAATTTAAAAACAAGTGGTAACATTATACAATAATGAAATAAATCTTAGATAAAATTGATTAGGCCTACACCTGTACCTCCAAGTTAAGCTCTAAAATTAAAAAAAGAAAAATTACAAAAATTGATTTAAGAGTGAATTGCATTGGAATTATTGACAATTTTGAATACAATTTTTAAATAATATATAGTAAGTAGTAAATACATATACGATTCTTAATACAAATTTTAAAAATAGTCTCCCAGCGGGCGCATGTGTGTCGTGCCTTATACAAGAGTTTTATATTTTATATTTTTTAAAATTTTATCTTATGTTCTTCAATATGCAGATGTGTGTATTATCGTAGTGTATCTGGATTTTCCAAAGTTTTCTTTCATAACAATATTCTGTATAGGCCTGTCACGCCAAAATTGGTCCGGGCCAAAAAATGTCCGGCGGACAGATTTTGGCCGCCAAAGTCTGTCCGCCGGACTACTAAAATCGGTCCTCCGGATTGATTTAATTTTAGCCGCTAAAACTGGTCGCGCTTGGATAAAATTGTTCCGTGTCGGCCTGGCCTCTTCATTTGTAACTCGTCTGCTGTTAGTCGGGGTATGAATGATGGTTTCTCCCGTGGAGTGGAGGAAATTTAGTATGCTTCTCTCACATTGAATGAATGATTCGTTAAGCTTTTGAGGAAGTGTTTTATCAACCACCAGATACTGGTAATTTCCTAGGCCTAGCCTAGGCGATACACAGCGTGCATCATTTTCGGCGGCCATGGTTAGGCCTACGTTTGGGCCTAAAATGAAACACAATACTGATTTATTAGTTTTAAATATTTCGTATTATTGTGTGGGGCATTAGGTCATACAATAGATGTTCTAATGCATGAAATAAAGGAGTAAGCATCTCAGAATATAATGCATGTACTTCGTCGCGGAGCACACACAACCAAAACAAAACAAGGTAAAAAATAAACTACAGCGGACCAACACGATTTAAGACCACACCGTTTAACTTCTTCGTACTTTTACACCAAAGGGTTTACTGGGTGCGAAGCTTTACTTAATTTTCACCATACCAGTGATTTCACCAGAAATGATTTCATATTAACAGAGAAAGTGATTTTAAAGGCCTATAATAACAATTTAATAAGTAAGAATTTGCAAATATATATATATATATAATAATAATGACGATAATAATAATAATAATAATAATAATAATAATAATAATAATAATAATAACAATAATAATAATAACAATAATAATAATAATATTTTTAATTAGTAACATTAGTTCCTGGAATAAAATTAATAATGTTGACGGTAACAAATGATATGACCATGTTAAAAATCATAAGAACAATTATAACATAATATTAATAATGAAATAAAAATTACTATACAGTAATGATAGTAGTAATAATAATAATAATAATAATAACAATAATAACAATAACAGTATTAATATCATTAATAATAGCATTATTAGTGAGAAGGTCTTAGCTAACTGTTGTATTTCCGAATACCAGTAAAATACTGTATTAAACTTCTTTTTTATACTCCTCTGTTTAGAACTTTTATATGTTTTGCTCGTTGTTTTTCTTTGTTTTGCCTTTTTTTCTAATTTTCTTGATTTTGTATGTTTCATTTGTGAACGCACCATCATTCTGATGTGTGCCGCTGATCTAAAAGCATATGTTCAATAAAGTTTAGTTCAGTTAACGAACGAAAACATAAGCTATATAATAAGAGACAAGATATTTATCTATCATTCAAAAAAAATATGAACAACGTTATAATAATACAAGTTATAACTATTAAATAGACGCCGGACCGATTTTGGCTTATGTGGACTATATTTGGCAGGTAATTTGAAAGCCAAAATCGGTCCGGCTGACAGATTTTGGCCCGGACCAAATTTTTCCTGACAGGCCTACTACATATTATACTAAAAACACTTTAAAATGAGTAACCCTTGGAGTTACCACGATGTCGTTGATCACGAAGAGTACTACCATGTTCTAGAGGGCGTCCTTTAAATGAGGGTAAAAGCCGTTCGGCGTAGCGAACGCGTGCTGCGTCTCTATAACGTGTGTTCGAGTTTTGAACGCAATTTTGTTCGAGTTTCGAACGCTAATCGATTGTCAATAGAGCGTCCACTACTTCGTGGTAGTAGTACCCATCATGCCTAAACCAGATTTACCCTTTTCTGCCATCTTTAATTGCTACAACACTACATAGCGTCTACGTCCTTCAAATAAGGCAGTAAACACAAAAATTAAAAATTATAAAAAAGTACAATTAGGCGAAAATTAAATTGGTTAATATTATACAAAACGAATAATTTAAATTTAAGAAAATTAATAATTTATATAAGATTTACAAATATAATTACTAAGAATTACTGGTAATTATGCAAAATAGAAAAATAATTAAACATAATAATCAAGAGGTATTTAAAAAATTATGCACGACAAGATCAAGCAACATGCAGGTGTTCAATATACCAGTTATTAAAAAGACCACGGTTAATAATAAATCGTTTTGACCTTTCGCATCTTACTTTAGGGAGGTCGGATGCTTTCTTAGAATACTTATTTCTTAGGTTATACTTATTAACTGTTGCGGACCGGAGCAAGTGGTTTAATTTGTGTTTAGGGTTCTTGACGTTGTTAAAGTAGTTTATACTAAGCATTTCACATCTTTAGAATAGCATGAGATTGAACAAAATTACAGATTAAATTACATGATCTTAGACTTGTACCTTAGACAACACGCAAAGGCTGTAACTAGTGAAATGGTGGTAAAACGGTACCTCTTTGTCATATATTTGCAAAGAGTGATTTTTTTTACTAACACAGCTATAAAATTCAAGTTAACTGGAAAATTCGCTGCATAGTATATTTTAGATAACTTATGGAGTATGTACGGGTACGGGAAGATAAATGTAAAGGAAAATTCTTAATCTTGTTTTCTCTTGTGAAATTAGATGGTTTGGATGGTGCACAATCCTCAGAACGGATACTCCAACCGCATTCTCGGAACCAATTAACAGGCTTCACCCATTTGTTGGAAACATGTCACAGAAAAGCCATTCAAGCGTTTTGGAGGACACCGGCTCGCCCTCGACAAGCCAACCAATCTACTAGCAAGCATTCAGAAAGTCGCAAAAGAATCGAGTTCATCAATTGCAGAAGTGCATTGTACAATGTCATCATAGCACATTAAGTTAATATTCAGTATTTACAACCCACTTAATCATACATAAACAAGGCTCAAACAATTATTTATTTCACATTGCTTATAATGTATATTTGTCTGGTACATAGACTTTACGATTACTGAGATATCAATAAAGCAACTGCATTTATTACATTTAAACATAAACAAATTGTGCATATGATTATATTTCAGTTTAAAACTTTGTAATCAAAATTCTAATCGTTAAATTACCTCATGTGGGATGTATCATTCTTTATTATTATAATTATTATTAATAGTAGTATCAATTCATTATTATTATCATATCATTATTGATATGAAATACACTTTACATAAGTAACGTTCCACCAGTTCATAATAGCTCTTGCACAAGTTTATGATAGTGTAATCTAAAACAATCTGTGGATCATTCATAGCTATATTTTATATTTTCTACACATTTTCCGAAATTTGAGAAATTGAGTCTGCATTTTTTTTAGGTTTTTTTTTTCTTTTTTAATTTTTCAAACAATAAAATATTAATGACTAATAATATTCAACTATGCTTGCCTGGCTTATAACTGTTATGTAATAATAAAAAACATCTTATTTGAAATTGTTTTTAGAAACATGTTTGTTCTTACAATAAACTACAGAAACTTATAATTTATATATTTAATGGTTGCGGTACACCACGTAGATAGCTCTGAAAATAATTGTTGTTTGGAGAGACTTAGACATTGTAAACTGTCACAAATACTGAATGATAATTGGTATAATATTAATAAATATCATTGAAATAGAGTTTTCAAAGACAGTATGAAATATACAGGTAGTGGTGTTTGCAATACTGTGCCTGTTTCTCGTTATTTTCAGTTACTATAAAGACATTCATGTCTCGGAACTTCTACATGCTGAACATCAAATATCTTAATCCCTGTTGTAGTGAGAGCAGAAGACACAAACGTTATCTTCTTCATAACAGCAAAATCTTAAAATGTAGATAAGATATATAAGGCCCTCCAGTAGAGAAACAGGATCTTATTGCACAACATCTCTGTAATAACAGTAGTAGAAATAAAATATAATAATAATAATAATAATAATAATAATAATAATAATAATAATAATAATAATAATAATAATAATAATAATAATAATGTTAATAATAATAATATTAATAATAATAATAATTTTGTGTCTTTTATCAGCACTGCTGCCAAAAAGCTGCAGGGTTTGTTTTTTTTTAATCGCAAAAACTTTATTGTCATAAATTAATATTTTGACCGATGCCACCATATTTCTAAGGCAAGGCCATGTTTACAGACACGGCGTGATTTAAAAGTTTTCATAATACACTGTTAAATTTACTACAGTTAAGAACCCGTACATTATTTAAAACTGAAAATTATTCCCCCATAGTTAATTAATTAAAAAACACATTTCTGTTGTATTTAATTTAACAACGTATTAAAATTCTTAAATGTATAATTGAAGGCTTAATTTCAAACTGTTAGTACAATTATTCGTGTTGATTTGATGTTGGTTTCGGCACATTCGAAACAGTCTATGGTTCTGGAGGGTCAACATGTCTTTTTGGATATAAACCATAGGCCCAGTATACACAATTGGTGTATGTGCACTCTAAAGAACCCAGCATACCTTTCGAGACGAGAAAGGGATTGCCCACGGGATGATTAGATCATCATGCACGATCCTAAGGACTCTATGTGTATGCTCGGAACCAATTAACAGATTTCGCCCATTCCATGGAAACTCGTCACCGAAACGCCCACCAAGCGTCTTCGAGGACTCAGGCTTTCCATCACCAAACCAACCGTCCTACTAGTTAGCGTAACAACACAAGAATTCAGAAAGTTGCAAAAAGGATTGAGTTCATCTTTTGAAAAGCGCATTGTACAATGTCATCATAACACATTAGGCCTGTATCTATTTAGTATTAGTAGTCTCATAGGTTATTCTCAACCATACATAGGCAACGTTCAACTAATTATTTATTTCAAATTACTTATAACGTATGTTTGTTTTTACGTAGAGTTTACGATTAGGCCTATAGATATACCGTATCAATACTAAGAAATAGTATTTATTACAATTAAACAATGCCTGCTATGTCTGTAATGAATGTCCTATCGTACTATTTGTTCTTTTATATTTAACCTCAAACTAACATATGGTTGATTGTTATAAATGATAATGGAAAGAAAGGATATGCATTACTTCATTAACTATCTCTAATTTTAACACATACATTTCTGTTAAAAGAGTCGAAATACAAATTGGCAAATTTAATGAATATGAAAAGCTATTTTTAAATATAAAGTTCAAATTTTAAACCAGATAAAGATCGCACAATCAATTTTCATCGATTGATTATCAAGAAGTTTAGGGGTCTATTTAAAAGAATAGAGGAAATGTCGTATTTAACTCTCGGTTACTCGACGGGAATACTTTTTTATTTCGTTTGCAGTATGTCGACACTCTCGTACGGCAGTGAGTCATTGACTTGGTACCGTCGACATGTGAAGAAGCTGAAACAATTCCACCTACGATGTCTCCGTAAAATATCGAAGAATATGATGCTCAACACAGTGGTACAAGGATGTCCTAAAATTCAACCTGAAAGCCTGCGATATCCCCACCAATACTTGGGTGGGGGGGGGGAAGCGATCAGCCGCCTCCTGTCCTAGTGAAAAGAAATTACCGGGCTGGGTAATAAAAAAAGAAAGAGGGGAGAGGGACGGAAAGAGAAAGAAGGGGAAAAGAAAAGGAAAGGAAAAAGGAAAAGAGAATAGAAAAATAAAGACAAGAATAAAAAGGAAGATATAATGACCAGACTCACAACACCCTGCAACCCCTCCACTTCAAAAAGTGTCCATAGCTCCTTTGATCTAAGCCACCAAATTTTGTGCACGCTTTGCGCTCATTTTTCAGGGGTTTTTTTTAGGGTTAGCCTTCTAAGTTATTTAAACACATAATAGTTCCATACTCAAGAAAGAAAATTTAAGGTAGATTGTTTTAAGAAATGAAAATGCTTATATTCAGTTTTTAAAAACGTGTATGGCGTGCATTTTTGATTGTGACAACTTGTGCTTGTCATCCATTGCCTTCTAAGTTAATTGAACACATAGTCCCAACTCAAATAGAAAGAACTTTTAAGCTAAATCGTTTTACATAAAAGAAGGGCCTCAATGTGTATTGATTATGAAAGAATATGTTTGTAATAAATAAAACCATGACGAAAACGCTTATATTTAGTTTCAAACACACGTGTGTGGCCTCTTATATAAATAAGATAAACCCTATGTCGTATTGTTTTCTATTGGGATGGAGGGGGTATGATAAATTACTAACCGGGAAAATTATTACCTATGCGCCTCTGACCCAAGACCCCTGTTACGCGCCTGGCTTAGACCGTCAAGATGCTCACACGCCAGTCAATTTTAAACAATGACTTTGCCAGTGGGCCAGGGCGAAATAAAAGTGGGCCAAAAGTCTACTTTGGTGACTATGGTTTTAAACTTTTTTTTCACATGATTGAAAATGGGTATACCCTGGTGAATCTATCCTAAAATTTCTTTACATTTAAACGAATTTTAATGGTGGCATTTTTTTTTTAAATGTCGGAAATTTTTCTATAAATATATCAAATGCTATAATTGACTACATTATATCAAAACACGTTTTTTTTTTTCTTACAAAAAATTCGGAATTACCTCAAAATGTACACTTTTCTTGTATATAAATTGGGGAACACAAATATATGTTTTGGTTCAAATTTAAAGTTTGCATCAATAATATATTGTTGTTTAAACGACAGAAAAAATATTTAAAAATCTATTTTTAGAACAGTAGGAGAGAAAGTTTTGATTCATGTGGATTCATGCTTTAATTTTTACCTCACCATCTTTAGTATAGCCTTAGCTTTATGATGGTACCAAATTTAGCTGCTACTTTTTGCAACTTCGCGAGCTAGACGCACTTTTATCAGTCTTGTTTTCGTACATTTGAGACACAATTTAATTAGAGCAAACCGCAAATCAGAGGGATGTACGCGCGTCTATTCAACCAGTTCATGCAAAGCGTGGGAAAAGCACTCCAAAAATTGACAAACTGTTCGTGATTTAACAGTAACAAATCTTCTAATATTTTGTTGCTGTTTAAAATAATTTATTAAATTTTGAGCAGTCTAATAATCCAAATATCATATACCATAATGAAGATGATATCTACAAGCAGGCCTATATCTAGGCGTCAATTGTTTTTAACTTTATTCAAAGACATCCAAGACTTTAAAAAGCTTCCTGTTTCAACTTAAGGAGAGGTGAGTTACTACGCGAGTAGTAACGACCTTTCCAGCAAACAATAATACGTTATGATAACGTGACAATAACGTTACAGTTTTGTGTTGAAAACTTTATTTTTTAGAACCATAAATACGTACTGAACATAATTTGACAACGTTTGCAAGTTCCTACAGCGTTGTGTAAACGTTATTTTGACATACCTAACCACAACATTGGCCAAGATTGTTATAAGAACGTAAACAGGTGTTTGCGGGTTTCTAAAGAAAATAACTTGTGGCTTGACAACAGGATTCCATTTTCTGATGAAGTTATTAATGTTTTGACACAGAACAGAAATATTCTTTCCACACCAGCAGAAAACCCACAAGAGACTTATAAACAACCATGGAGGTATTATAGGTCCATGATTCTCCAAAACCGGGACGTCCTATCGAAGTATGGGAGGATCTTTCCAGAGAGTTCGCACAAGGGTAAAGTACAAGAGATGTTGACGTAAAATGTACGCACTGAACTTCTTTATGCAGCATTGCAAGGGGCGTTCAAGAAGAATCAAGCGTTTTATGTTAGTAGAAAGAGACTTTTGATCCAATGATCCATTTTGGAGATATTTAGGTTTGGGACTTAATGGCCCTCAAATGCATACCCGAATTTGGATCGTCACCAACACTTAATAATTTCCTCCTTGTAACTTTGTTAAACTTTCACGAAAGTTTCATTCAAATAAGTTTATCAGTTTTTTAAATATCTGGTCCAGGACGTTTTCTTTCAAATAACCAAGCCCTACTCTGTAACCAAAACTTAATCCTTTTATTTCTGTCATACCTAACACTCCCTGTAACTTTAATACAGATATGTTCAGCCGTTTTTGAGATATATTGAACACAACACACACGAACGAAAACGTGACAATCGCACACAAACTTACATAACTGAAAATATATATCTCCTAGCGGAGATAACAATAGCATTATTTCTTGTTTTGCAATGTAAGGAGGATGGTTCGTGTAGTGTTTCCTCAGCAAAATACAAAATACTATTATGGTATATAAAGGTTTCAAATACAGAAATAATTATCGATTATAGATAATTTTGTTTACAATAAAAAATATTCATATTACTGCGAAAAGATCTCTCTATAAGACACAATGAAGTTACCGGCAATAGAAATTGGTATATAATCAACCAAGCCTGTCATAAGTTATCGTCGCCTTAAATGAAATATGACTGAACCAGTAGAGCCTGAGCCTCTGGTAAACCCTCCTCCTCCTTCATCTTCTCCTCCTCGTTCTACTCCATCTTCAGAAAGTAGGTATGTAATTTCTTTGCCTTGTCTTTCTATTATACTTAAATCCGATATTTTAGGTACTGTATTGTGTAGGAATATCAGTTCGCCATTTCTATGAATATATTGTTTACAGTGTTATTATGTATATAAACTCGCGAAACATGGCCGTAAAATACTTATTTTGGATGGTTTTTGGCTGTTTTTGTTTGTTGTCGTCCATTATCAAGCTTAGAAAAGTAGCCTATCGTGTTCGTGACATATAGAAACCCCAATGTATGGAGGATAAGCACATTCCTGCCAGCGGTTTTAGATGAGATAGGTGAAGTTACGTTCAGGTGTGTGGAATATTGAAGACTGAGATAGTCGATTGCCTGTGTAAATTAGACATATAATTTGGGTTGGAATATATGTAGGCACTTCGTTTACAAAAATAACATTACTATTACAGTATTATGTTGATGATTTAATTGTACTGTATCTTGATGGTGTCTGTTTTAAACAGAATCCTATTAATTATTTTAACAAGTTATTTGAATGTATATTCTGTCTATATGGAACTAATATATTTCTATATTGGACTATACTCTTTGAATCTGACTTTTAAAAATTGTAGGCATATTTTATTTATGATGTGTCTTCCTAAAATGTACACATAGACCTACGCAATTATATTATGTACGTTAATTTCATTTAAACATTATACCATTGTGGAAAAACAGAGGTATAATGTCAGTACTAAAATGAAAGTTAGTTTTCTTTACTTTATTAAGGAGTCAAAGTTTGACTCCTTGATAAAGTAAAGAAAACTAACTTTCATTTTTTATCATTGTTTAACACTACTTTTAACCAATCTTGGTATATCTTTATTTTCTCTCATTAGATGTACTATGCTAAGGACAGCCAACTTATGTCTAAGCACAGAACCGATGAACAGTCTTATACAATAATAACTTTCGTTAGTTGATTGATGTATGTTTATTATGTATGTTTATTGACTTTAAAAAATATGTTCCAATTGAGTATTTTTTATCATTAGTATATCATCATACATGTTAATATTAAAGACATTAGTGATGAAATATATACTGTTTTCAATTGACGACAATCACAGTTCAGGCACCTATTATTTCAAACACGCAGGTTCCTCATCTTTAACGTTTTAACATTATTATGTATAGGCCTAATTACAGCATTTCCTTAAGACGATTTAGAGTTCGATTTAGAGTTTATTTTTATCATACCATTATATATATAAATATCATTTTATATATATATATATATATATATATATATATATAATATAATATAGA